TGCTCGTTGGAAGCGTCGTGCTCGTTGGAAGCGTCGTGCTCGTTGGGAGCGCCATGCTCGATCAGATCAACACTTTCTGACTGCCCACTAGTAGACATTGAGTCAGCAACATGACTGCGACCAAGTGAAGAAAGACTTGCATTCGTAGTGGCACCATCCCAAGCATTGCCATCCCATTGCTCAATGTCTGACGGACGCATTCGAAGAAGGCAAGTTGGGCCATGTTTTGCTGTGAACTCTCGCCAACTCCCTCCACCTCGTTCTCAAATATCGTAGAGAGTACATCGGTCAGACGATACAAATAATTGATGATTACCGAAGATTCCAAGTTCTTGACCGATGTCTTGACCATGCCTGGGAATTGAATAAGAACACGCAATGTATCAAAGTATGCTTCCCCCTCAAATATTGTATAGTCTGCATTCTCAAGCTCTGCTCGGTCGATGATCACCCCTTGGAGTCTGCAGTCAACTTGAGTAAACCAATAGTGAAGGCTCAGGCCAGAATGGCTGTCCATGTCTCCCATCTTGTGAAGATCAAAGTTGAACGTGGTGCCGCGGCGGATGGAAAGTTCTTGTGCCATGAGGCCTACCGCAGCAAGACTGCCAGAGACGTCATTAGTAGTATCACCACGAAGTTCTTCGAGATCTTCAGGGTTCGCTTCCAGAAATTGGCCCACTGTGCCTTGACATTGGTCGATGATATCTTTCAGTTGCAAGCCATTACTGCCTTCAGGCCGTGAGAGACCCTTTAACCTCCCAAAACTCACATGCTGCAACTTCGCCGCCAAGTCAGACTGACCTATAATCTCAAGAGCGGCAATGACCTCGCGAAAGTGCGAGTCTTGTCTCGAGGTCACCACGTAAATCATTTTGTCGAAGGAGAATTGATTGTATCGCTCCACTGCTGCAGCAATGTCTCTCAAGAGATAAGTGGTTGTTCCGTCACTATATCGTGCAATTGAAGTCGTCGAACCCCTGTACCCCAAGCTTTCATAATCGATAACCCAAGCACCTTCACTTTGTCGGTAAGCGTTACGGTCTCGAAGAGCCGTCTCGATTTCGGCGATGGTCTCAGGTCTAACCAAAGATTCTCCGGAGTAGTCGTCGAATGTGATGTTCAGTCTTGCGTACTGCTCTTCGTACTGTTGTAAGCAAGCATCACGGAATTTGCGACATAGCTCGACAGCCTCCTGATCCCTATCTTCCATTCGTCTAAAGAATGCTTCCTTGTCTGCCGTGATCGCTCTTTTCTCCTCTGCCAGTGCAGTGCGCGAGAGGGTATCTATCTGTGAGAAAACATCCACAAGATGCTTCAGTGGATCTGACTTAAAGAGCTCCTCGGACCCAAATCTGAGCCAGCCCACCGCCAGCAACCCAATATTCCGGCCCCAGTCGCCCAGGAAGTTCATTTTACACACATCCCACCCGAGTTCATGGTACAGTGATGCAATGTGGTTGCCGATGATGGTGCTTCTCAAGTAATTACCATCAAACTCCTTGCCGAGGTTTGGGGAGGAGAAGTCCACAACGAGCTTCTTCTTAACAGTACTGTAGGGAGGCGCAACGCCGACAACCTCATCCTCGGCCACACTTCCATATAAAGTACCGCGGTCAAGGATGTAAGAGAGGAGGATACGTGCAAGGGTAATCGGCGCAAAGAGAAAGCGTAACTGAATCCCATCGTCCACGGGGTTTGCGAACAGGGACGAGGGGGGAAACTGCAAAGTTAGCCAAGAGTCCTCAAGCACGTAGGTGGAATACACATCGCATCGTACCCTTTGTTTGAGGTCTGCAGCAGGGTTGTCGCCGTCGATATCTTCAAGTCGAAGGCGAGGGAGGGCGACAACAAGGTCCCAGTCTTCCACTGGCCATTGTATAGACTCAAGTGCAACTTGAGGGTCACAACCAGTGACTTGAACCAGTATTTCCGCTAAATGCCTGATGTATATTTCAACCGGGTTGTGGTTGATATCTGTATTTGGAGATAGTGATGGCCAAGCTTCTAGTCCTAATTCATGGAATAAAGCTGAAAGACGACCTTCGGTGAGCGTTGCCATTGAAGCCCATGTAGCGAGGGATACAACAAAGAACCTGTCTGAAGACCTGCACAGGAATTGGGCAAAGAGATGTATAATAGTCTTCCTAGGAAGCAGGCGTGGGAGCGAGTTGCCTCACAATGGAACTGGCCAATCTTAGCGCCTCTTTTCGCATGAACGGTGGGGTGCCAACAACCAATCCTAGTATGCAGGTAGGTGTGTTGTCGAAGCCATGGGTATTGGCTCGTCGATTAGTGAAGCGGATAGCACACCGACCGTGTTCTGGGGCGACCATACGCGAGTGATATGCGTCGCCAGCTGGCGTATGCTGCTTGGCTCCTCAACCCAGGCCACGTCCGATCCAAAGATCGAAGAGTGTTCTGTTTAGGCTTCACCCAAAGGCTAACTGCCCCCGGTCGTCTCGACTGCGTACTAATTGCGTGTGGAACAACACCATGACTGCCCAGTAGATCAGACGGCCACTTTGGGCTCACTATGGCCTCACTCTGTGGCACGGACATCCTGCCCAGCGGACAGTACTCTAATCCAGAGTATTCCCGTTGTATCCAGCGCATGTGCCCAATAATTCGCTGTTTGCAGTGCTTGCTCGACGGGTTTGGCATTTCAATACATCTGGCGGGATTCAGGCTCAAAGCTGGCTATTGCTAGAGGATGCAATGCGTGGTTCGTCGGGATCCCATTCAAATTCCCAAAGCTCGTTATCTGCTAACGCGGCAGGTATAATGATTGAGGTCGTTCAACCGCATTACGGGAGAACATGCCTCCAAACGCGGGCGTGAGCCTTTGTTCTGCCCGTTCAGGGTCACTTCCGAGATGTGGCGATTCTGTTGCTCCAGGTCCGGGCTCACTCACGGATGGTCTGTACCGCCCGACGAAATCCAGAATTGCAATTATTAGCTGCCTGCAATACATACATCCTCTCATTGCAGAAGAAATGCACAGCATTCGGCAAGATTTTCCGTATCGGTCTGCATAGTAGATTGCCAAGAGCGCAATGAAGAAGATAAAGAGTGACGCAACGAAAGCGTATGCAGATGGAGACACGGGTATGGCCCCTGGTTGCATGGAGAAAATAGCGGCAGTTAGAGCGATGGGTAAGCTGATCTACTCAAGTCTCAATTTCGTCTGCAAGCATAATTTCGGTGGACCTGCTTACCATGATTATGTTGGATACATTCCTGTTGGATTTTGCGAGGTGATAACTTGCTTGGGCCAACTGGTTGCTAGCCTCTGCTAATTGGCGTTGTTGCACACCAACCTCTAACTCATGTCTTTTGAGATTGTATTTCAACTGTGCGTGGCAAGCTGTTAGCAGTCTTCTCCCAGGGTAATTTTCTAGTTGACCATCCCATTTCAAACGCATAGAGATGCTTACCTTTTGTTCTATGGCAACCCATTGCTTGTTCAGAGACTGTAATTTTTTCCTGAGTGCCGACATTCTGTCGAATGTTGTCTGTATAGCACAAAATGTGGAGTATGTACTTGCTGCTGCCGATGGAGGATGAAAAATGGATTGGTAGCGAGTGAAATTTGTCCACGCATCGAAAGGCTTGTCCAGTACCTCGAGTAACCCAGACAATACCAGCGACATACTGCCGATGCGTGTGAGTGATTGGCGAATCTTCTCACCTTCTTGCTTCGTCGCTTCCTCGGTAGCATGGCACTCAGTCAGCTTATAGGGGTGGGTTGTGTATTCCTTCATTTGTAAGTATCTAAAGGCCCTATGAGGGAGGCGGAAAACAAGAATTGCTCACCTCGGCATGCCTGATACTTTTCTCTAGGCTTTTGACCACATTCGTCCACTCTTGGAAAACTTGATGTACGCGGATATTGGCCACGTTCAGGAAGAAGTCCCTCGCCTCCTCAGTGTGCTTTGCAGTTTGGCCATACTCGAACGGATGTGTATCGAAACCATCTGTTTGGTCTTTCTTATACTGAGACGCTACCTCTCCACAATCGCCGTCAAAGTAACTATCAACAAAGCAATAGGCAACCCATCTCCATTCGTCGACACCAGTAAGCACACATGAAATCTGAGCTTGGTAGAGATACGACTTCTCACCATTGCCATTTAGGAATGAGACGTCTATGCATTTCCTGAGGGCATGGCCAGTGTTGTCACATCGAGTATCTTCGTTGGGGCTCGGGGTAGAGCGCCACGCATAGTAAGGCAAGTGGAGTGAGAGATGAAATTCTGGCCAACCAATTAACTGCCCAAAGGTTTAGTATGCGGTACCTTGAGATTTAGGCACGAATCCTTACAGGTATCGTCACCTCCATCGCACTTTCGAAGCCGAGATACTTGGAGAGTGCATCTCGCAGGATTGGGGCTTGCCTGAAGGTAGCCGTGCCTGCGAGAGCGTAGATGTTCCAGCAGTCGAGGTCACTGATGAACCTGGGAGGTTGTTAGTGCAGGGGACAGAGAATGGGAGATACTGACACTAAACGCCGTTCTATGTCTGAATCCTCATGTCGGCCTGTGGCTACGCTTCCTTTGGTGGTGGCGCAGTCGAGTCCTTTCGGCTTGGGCTCGCATGCCGCTTTAGCTGGATCCGCTGGAGGTTGATTCTCTTGAATCTCACATGCCATGCCGCTGCGATATCTCTAATTTTATCCGGGTAAGCCATCGACCTCCCATACCTCCCGAGTGAATACCTGACTTACGGGAGTCCTCAATGCTCGGTACAGATCGTGCGCCGTGAGCCATTCGGTGCTAGCTTCAAACCAGCCAACTCCGCCTTCCCCAACCCACGCTTTACACTGCAAAGGGTGCCCTTCCCATGTCGGCTTTTTTAGACGATCAAGATCGGCGCCGAAGGTGTAGTCCTCCACCATATCCGCCTGAGGCAGCAAGAAATCCGGCGCATAGTAGTCCTTCATAAACACCCGGATGACACTCTCTTCCTCTTCCTCGTCCTCGTCAGCCTCATCCTCACAGTTCGCATTGTTCTCCTGGGCCCCCTCGGCCGCTGCCACCAACACTCGTTCGCGTAGCTCGAGCCACGAGATATTTTCGCTGTCGCAGATTGCCTCAACTGAACGGCGAGTCGAGAATTCAGGGTTCCAAGTGGTGGGGCATCTTTGATAAAAAAGGTCTGCTGCATGCGCTGCTGGAGCCTCTTCCTGAACCCCTGACATAGTCACATGGCCTATCAAAAAGGATCGTGATGGAATATCAAAGAGACGTGCGCAGCTTCCGGAGAGACTGTAAACAAAAAGCTCCTGATGACTGCATTATTAGGCTATCAGAATATTACAACAGCTCTATATAGCAACTCGCACAGCTACAAATAAGGCGATCACTCGCTCGATTGACCGTGTGCTGGACCTACGCCCAATGCTGACTTCTCGGACGGTGAATCGCTCTTCTCAGCATTGTTGAAGCCCAATGCAACCGCAAAGGCGCTGCTTGCAAGTAAAGCGCCCAATCAAGCGGTAATTGCCTTTTTTGTGTTGGTGTTTGCCTTTTTCCTCAACTTTTAAACAACGATCCCTCGTGACCGTCTCAAGTACCCAAACAAAATTGCAATCAACTGATAGAAGGGACTTTTGATCTTGTTCCTCTCATTGGGTGATCTTATCGAGTTTACATTTATTACACCTCGCATGTCCGCAGCTTGGGCAGTTCTCCGATTTGATAGAAATGGCGCTTTTCCCGTCTTTGCACTTGATTCGTGATCAGCTGCGAGTCTATGAAGAGGGCAAGGGGACACCAACACATGACCATATAAAAACGGCCTTTTTCTTCGATTTTGAAGGCGGCCTCTCATAATCGAGAAGATAGTGCCCGAAGTGTTGCGGGCCGAGACGTTGCGGCCCGATAGGCAAACGTTGAGGCGGAGCGTCTCGAATCGCTCCCAGTATTTCATCTCCTATACTGTCACTGGGTTGTGTGCTGTCGATGTAGTGGTGTTGAGCGTACGTCTCGTGACTGGTTGTAGCTGGAGCTGACTCTAATAGGGCATCCTCCAATCCTGGAGACACTGCCAACCTCATGGCGGAGCTAGGTTTTCCGGCACTAACCGATGACGATCGAGAGAGGGTATTCTGGAAGGTGTGAAATACCCTCTTCGTTCGATACAATGGAACTTCAGTTGCGAAAATTGTCTACTATCTCCTGTTGCTCTGGAGTTTGGCAGCAGTCAGTGCGTTGAAAAATGCAGAAGGCTGGGCACTCAACTCTCTATCAAACACTAGAGAGCATGGACATATGCATCTGCATACCCGCAGGCTTGAGCGTACACCGCCGAACTCATTTTGTGCGACTTCCATTGAACCTTGCAGATAATGGGAGCACTAAATAGTTTGTTTTGGTTCCTAAATTTTTATAGTTATCCCCAGGCAGGCAAAGTATATAAGTACTATACTCCTTCTCCCATCACGGTCTTAGACGAAAGAGGTTCTTTGTCCGTTAGAGACACAGGCGACTGCACACCTCAAAGACTCTTTCTCTCGCTTATGCGATCTTGCTTGCTAAAACAGAGGACCTGACCCTTGCATGGATACTCACTTGATCAATACCCTGTCTCGCTTTCCCGGCTTTCGATCCGTGCGCCCCGACAGCCGGTTTGAAGGGTTAGTGGCAGCTTCACTGGTAAGTATCATAACAAGGCTTGCTGCAATGCAGCCTTTGAAGGCGATCTATGCCTTTTTATTGGGAAGGTTCTAGACTAATTTTGCTAACGCATCACACCGCCCCCTGTACGACCAAGCTTCGTCAACCCCCCTTGCGATCAGTCGGTGCGGTTCCGGTATTTGATGGGGGCACGAGGAATGATGGATGCGCAACGAGGGGAGAAAATTGAACGACAAAACACGGGGCGCAGTCACATGCACGGGCAATGATTGCATCGCCCCCCCTCCTTTCCTGCGCATAGCAATTGCTTCTACAAATGGTCACAGACTCATCTTCTCTGGCTGAGGATTTACGACAAGGGAGTGCAAGGCAACTCGATTGAGAAAACTGGCCACTTGTTGGTATGTGATAATTTTGTGTGCGTGAAGCTAAGGTACTGTACCTTGGGAGGAGCAAATATGCGTGCCAAGGAGTAAACTACTGCAGAACTGTGTACGTGTGATGAGCCCGCACCTGTGGCAGCGGGCTCTAGCAATTCGATCTGGACCCTTTTGAGTAAGTGACGCAAAACTCAGGTATGTAGGTAGCACAAAGCTATTGGATTGGAGGCCCTGGACTCTGACAGCTCCCGAACCCCACTTGTGGAATCACGAGTGCTCTTTCAACTGCCTCTCTACTCCGGAGTGAAACGGGAAATTCTTCGTGGCGAAGTGAGAAAGTCTTCCGCGCGCGGGTCTCGGCAGTTTCGACTTCGCTGGCAAAGCGCAAGTGGTTTTCTTGGTTCTTCCACTCAGAAGCTATGTACAGGGAGCTTCGAGTCAGTCAAGCTGAAAACTCCGCAAGGCTACACCGGACTCGCTTGGATTGCTATGTAGGACACTCGACCAGCGCCTTCACCTCACATCCACAGAACGCTCATCCACCATGCGAACTTCTCAGCAGCCACTCATCTCTTGGTTAGCCTCCTTCCTACCACGAGCTGGAGGACTAGAAGATCGTAAAGTTTCCTCGTCGCCGGCGGGCCTTCGTCCGAGGTCGGCCATGCCGCCTCCAGCACCGCCAAACGGGACGCCGTCAATCAACACTGATTCTTGGCCAAGCAGGTACTGGTAGTAATAATACCTATCTCATGTGTTAAAACACCTTCCATACAATAGCGTACAGGCTCAGTAGGCTGGATCAGAGCAGATTACGCCGGAAGGAATTTTGCTTACGCCGCAACAAAAAGTGCTCCACCGACAATGTTCCCCAAGCCTGCAGGGACGACGCCTTTCCAAATGTACAGCCCTACACTGATGCCAGGCGTATCGTGCCAGATTGCGATGGGAATGAAATACATGTTCGCCACCACGTGGTCGAAGCCGAGCGACACGAATGCGAACGTCGGCCACCAGATTCCTAAGCAATGTCGCCGTATCAGCATAGCACACCAGCGTACATAGCCCATCGTGTATAATGTAAGGATAGACGGAGGGATGAGGCTTCCGCTTACCCATGATCTTGCTAAAATACTCCCTACCTGACATGCCCAGATAACAGGCCAAACACACGAGCCAATTGGCTCCGATTCCACGCAGGAAGACCTGGTGCCATTGTGCCGCGACTTGTTTCGTCTTTGCAAACGCCTGTACTTCCTTCGTGAACCCTGCTGTGTCAAACGTGCCGCCGTACCCAGTGATGATAGCAACTATGAACAGCGAGCCTGCAAGGTTGCCCCAGAACGTGGCGGCCCAGTGGATCAACATCTTGGCGATGCTGAGGCGGCGGTGATACACGGCCATGGCGGTATACTGTCGCAATAACAACGCATCAGCTCGAATGACCAATGTGTGACGCTCACTTTTGAAGTGTATGTGGACATACCATGAATGACCCCGTGCACAGATCCGCCCCGGTCAGGACAATTATACACAGTCCGTAGGGGAACACCAGGGCCGAGATGGTCCTGATGAGGCCTGGGGCGTTGTCTTGAAACCAGGGCGCCGTGTTGGTGCTAAGCACCGTCGCGCAGGCGAATGATAGGATACATCCAGCCGAAACTCCGCTGAAGAAAACCTTGTCTAGACGTGTGTTGCCTTTCACAACGCCGGCCCGCGACACAATCTCGGCTGTTTCTTGAGGGTTGTAGCAGTTGTACATGTTCGTCAGTCGAGTCGCTTGACCCAAATGATGTGCTGTTGTTGTTTGGTATGAGGGGTGAATGTTGAGAGTTCCCCTGCAGCACTAAAAGACCCTGGAGTGATCTCGGTCGGGAGAGAGAGAATTCACTGGGATGATTACCCAGGGCCGATATATAAGTCTCTCCTTTCTTTCCGGGAACACTTATCTAGCCCTGCCACCTGTAAATCGGCCCTGAACGGAAGGAAGGCTACAAGGCCATGGTCCGAAAGTGGCAGAGATACTATATCGTCTCCACATAAGTTGCCATCTCATGCTCGCTTAGGCGTAAGAGGACCGGAATGGTTCGCCGGTTCCTGGATCCGACACTTCAAAGATTGGTTTCACCATACCCGATATGTTAGTTCAGACATTGATCTGCCAAAGAATGGCATAAGATCCTGACAATTATGCATCCATCTTGGCTGGAGGCCCATCAAAGATGGTTACACATCAAAGATCGGATCCATCAAAGATAAGCGCGAGGTCGATGTCTGGACGAGGTAATGCTAGATCAGCACGGCTGCTTGAAGAATGCGGCAAGTAAGAGTGTTGATCTGATGTGACTTCGGAGTCGCTGACGTATCTACCTATGTTTGTCGACCAGGTATTGCTGTGGACGTTGAACTCGGACGAGTCGATGACAAGGATTGACAGTGGTTCAAATGATATCGATAGATATGGGTGGGTACAAGTAATATTTGTACAAATGTCGATGAAAAAGCTCCGGAGTTGCGGAGGTACGTCGACAAGAAGTGGGTCTGACGATCTTCGGCGCAGAAACGAGTAATATTGAGGAAGCATGAGGAAGCCAAGTATATCGTATATCGGGTCTCTAGCTCCTCCCATCTTGCGAACATTTCAGAAGGTCGTTGTTGCACTGTCGGAATAAAGGGGCAAGACGCAGATAACAAGGCGGAGATCAAGGTGTTCATGTTTTAATGAGTTTACCAGTAGACAATGTTCCACCAAGGCCACCGATTGTACATTTGAGAGTTTCCGCCGTAGAAAATCGCTACTATACAGTCCTGCTTCGAGATTTATGGCTCATGGATTCCCTGTTGCCTTTCTACTTCCGATGCCGTAGCGGTCTATCTCGAGTTGAAAAGGAAGGCTCGTGGTACCAGTAGCCCTCATCAGATGCGGCTTCTTGCAGCCGATCTTACGATGGCAAGACTGAGGTACAATCTGCTGCCTCTGGCGAAATGTGTAGGTCCTCGAGGCGACTGCCGCATAACTATGGTTCCATTAGAATCTGATGGTTCTCTGCTGAATCCTGGAAACTCCCGGGCATGGTCTTCGATCTGCATCTGCACTTTTAGTCGTACAAACCTCTCTGCTCGATCTTCACTTCAGTATTATCCTGCATTTGAACATGTTCGAGCAGGGCAATCCACTGCACTTTCAAGGCTAACATTTCCGCGATCAATCTCAGTCTCAGGTCTCCTGTTCATCGGCCGAATCTTCCTCAACCTGGGTTTCCATGATCCTTTTCCACTCTTCCATCATTTTCATCATATCACCAGGCGCCATGCTCGCGTCCACGACTTCTTTGGGTAGCTTGTGAGCGCTATACTTCGTCGCCGCAAATTGATATGCCTCGGGGTCGTCACTCTGCACGAGACGAAACTCTGGGTCGAAAACCGTATCTGCTTCGGGTTCCGGGATGGACAGGATCTCCAGCCAGGAGAACAACAACGGATCAGTCCGAGGTGCCCAGGGGTTGATATCAATCAGCCAGACTCGTTCATGTGGAGGTGGAATGTAGACGTCGAAGACGAAATTGTCATCTGGAAAATCGGCAAGACAGTATAGAAACTCCTGGATCTGGCTCTTTAATGCGCTCCGCAACTCGAAAAGAAACTCAAAGTGGTTCATTTCCCGCTGGCTGATGGCGATCAGCTTGCGGTTCCGCACAAAGCATCGGAATTCCAGTGACGGATTCAGGTTGAACGATTTTCGAAGGATAAGGTGATAAGGCACGTCGACTTGATCTGTACAGCCGTCAAAGGCTTGCTCGAGATCGTGCGTGATGAAGTCGCTGGACTTGAGAAGGAGGTATATGTCGTTTGGCGTCCGGCATTCTAGGTCGTTGGTAGGTGCGATCCAGGTCGCATCCTTGGGAGCGGACCAGTTCAACTTCGGGACAACTTTGCCTCCTAGTTCGGCGATTGTAGAACGAACTCGCTCGTGAACATCGGACCATGACTCGGAAGGATCCTCCTCGTCCTCGTCCTGGAACCCACTATCTTGGTCATTCGGAGAGTTTTCAGGAGGCAATACGATTCCATCGGCTCGTAGATACTCCAGAAACGGCTGTGTGAGAGGTATGAGTCGAGCTTTTGGTGTAAGTGATCTGAAGCGAGGATGCCATGAATGATATGAGCAGTTCAAGATATGTGTTGCTGTCACGGGTGGGAACGGGAGCGCGGTCAACGGTTTCGGCCCATCGTCAGTCATCTTCTATCACAGATCCCTTGACGATACCATCTCTTGAATAATTAGAATAACACAGTCCTGATGGTTTTGTCTATGTTACAAGAAGGGAAGCACTGAGAACATTCCAAGACAAAATTAGTAATTGAGATCGCCACGTAACGGGAAGCTGTGGCTTGCAATTTCTACGGTCAATCATTGTGCCACACAAGAAGTTGGAGTACGCAGGAGTACAACGTCTTGCTGTTACCACAATTCTCGTATTTACATCAGCATCCCACCAACTCTTTGGCGAGCCTCAGTGTAATTTGCAAGCTCAACCGGCAAGAAAGATGCATTTGCACAGAAATAGGTAGAATCTGCTGGTGAGTCGCTCTCTGCGCCTTTACGCTAGGCAGAGTAGCACAAGCACAAAAGGTTACTTTTGAGGGAGATACTTCTGTGGAAGGTCCCTGAAGTCATATGAAATAAAGAGTAGTCTCAAAAGACTAATAATTTTCTCGACGGTCCAGGTAAACGGTATGTAGGTACGGAGGCGTGCACAAAATGTTGAATCACACGCTAAATCTTAGCGCAGCCGCTAAATGTAGCCGAGGGGAGGCGGTGTAAGACCTCCCTAGTAATTTGTATGGGATATTTTGCAAACCTCACCAGGTTGAGGCATCGATTGCATCGGTTAACTGCATCATCGCACTATATTACATATATTGTTCTCATGATTAGAGCCTCCTAGGCATTGAGTTAGAGACTTATCAATAAGCGTAGTCGTTATATATTGTTGAGCGTCGTCGGCGATATAGATATTAATGAGGCCTCTTGCTGTTCGAGCCTCTCGAAAGGTTAGCACTTATTGTCATGCTCTCTTCTCTTTCTGATTTAGCTGCAAAGGCCATTAAAAAGAGAGAATCTTAGCGGCCTAGATAAAAGAACTCTCTTGTGATTTGGTCTTTACCTTAAAAAAAAGCATTAAATAACTATGGAATTCAATATATTCTCGCTTAATATATCTAGGCTCTTACTCTATCTTCACTTGACTATAAACCTTGTGATATTGTTTTATGACTTAAGATATTAGAGCGAAGTGTTGATAGTATTATTTAGAAGGTAAAGAAGAGAGATTTTAATTTGTAGATTAATGCTTATATATTAAATCACTTTATTAAGGATAAATATAGACTAGAAAGACTAAAGAAAATTAAGAAGATAGTTAAGAAGAAGGTTCTTAATAATGTTTATCGCGATAGAGTTAGTTATAAAAAATTAATTGAAGTTCTTATCTATAAGTATAGTATTAGCACTTTATTTATTAGTCTTATTCTTTATAAAAATAAGCTCTTAAATATAAAGTTTATAAGAAAATCTGGCCTTAATAAGCTTTAATATAAAGCATGATTTGCTTTCTATTTTGCTTATTAATATTAAATAATTAATAACTAGAAAAAAGTGATATAAAGTGATAAAATAAGTGTTGTTCTTTATTATCGAGGCTCTTAATATATTTAGTGAAGCGTGAATAAGGCCTTTAAAAAGTTATTTATTTATAATTATTAAAAAGACTACTTAAAGTTTATATTTTAAGATTACTTTTTATATTATAAAAAAGATCTATATTAATAATAATAATAATAATAAAGTTCTATTATAGTTTAATTTAGCTCTCTTTTAAGACTATATAGACTTTAGTAATTTTTAAGGAAAAATCTAAATCTTATTAAGATTCAAGAAAATCTTTAACTCCCCTCTAAGTCGTTTGCGTTTTGCAGGCGCCTCTCTTGCTACTCCTTTTGTCGCTTTATAATTATCTTTTCCTTCGATTTATAGAAGGTCTTATTCTATCACTTAGCATAGTCTCTTAAAAGTATATACTTTAATATCTCTTTCTTCTCTATCTCTCTTGTAAGTTATAGGTATCCTAGTATCTTTTGTGTGAGCAGCCAGTAAGCTATATACTTTATGGCCTTGAGTCTTAAGAGTATCTTGTTAACTCTTTATATTTTGTAGGCCTAGAGAAGCTTCTCTTGTTTATACTTTTAATAGTATAGAAGAATATAATATATTGTTTCTATATATTAACTATATAAGCATAGTGAGAGTATACCTAAAATGTTGATTCTTGCTAGCCACTTATTAAGCCTAATTATCTCTATCCTAAGAAGAAATAGTGTCATCACTTTAGCTTTCGAGAGGCCTATATAGAGTGTGTATTTATTTAGCTTCTAGTTAGTTATTTAGGTTATTAAGAAATTAAGACCCCTTAAGATTACTTTAGCTTTTTTTTATCTAGTTTTCTAGTTATAATCTATAGCTCTATAAAGAGTTGCCTTCTTTAATAGTGATATTTCTAGATAATAATGATAATACTATTTATATAAAATTTATTAGTGATTTATTTTCTCTTTAATATAAATATCTATCTTCTCTTAAGTATATTCTCTAGTGAGATATAAAGACTTTATTTAGTGTTAATATCTTATTTTAAGACTATTCTATACTCTCTTAAACGCTTTCTAAATATTCTTCTTAACTAAGTTATATATAATTTATAGTGTGCTTTTTCTTGCCTAGATAAGAGTGATAAGATTAAGTAAGAATATATATATCTCTCTCTTTAGAGCGATTTAGAAGGTCTTTTTATATTTTCTTATTATGCTTTAAAGATATTTATTCTATATCTTTATTAGTGAACTAATATATAAAGTTAAGAGCGATCCTTATATAATTTATATACTTTATTTCTATAAGCTATAAAGAAGAATTAACTATATTATTACTATATAGAAAAGCCTAGTATTTTATATTAATAGTTCTTAAGTTAATATAACTAGCTAAGTTAGTGTCTCTAATATTATAAGTCCCTTATAAGCTATATATATAATATACTCTTTCTATATAAGCTTTAGGTTAAGCTATATATTAAGGATCTTAATCATCTTTTATTTCGAGATAATTTTCTGTTTTATAATCTAAATACTATTTACTTATAAATTATTAATATATTATTTACTCTTTATAAAGTGAATAAGCTAATATTTCTTTAAGGCGAATTTTATCTTATAACTCTTTATCTATTTCTTATATTCTTAATAAACTATATTTAATTTATAATAATTATACTTCTTATTTAAACCTTATATAATAATATTTATATTATCGATAAAGCTAAAGTTTATAGTATTATCTTATTTATTAGTAAGATTTTTAAGAAGCCTTAAGATATAAAAGAGAAATAAAATTAGCGATAAAGAGAAGCTCTATAAAATATTTATTTTAGTGTCTATTTAGTTATTTTTATACTCTATATATATAATCTATATATATCTCCTAGATAGAAAGCTTTAAATAAATTTAACTAGCTATTTTAGAAAGCTCTTTCTTATGAGGATATTAAGTAGTGTATTATAAAGCATATTATTAAAGACTCTCGCGATATTAAGACTTAATATTAATATTATATAGCCTAGCTATATTTATTATATACACTCTATATAAGTCATTATAAAGTTAATAACTAAAAATGTTAATCTATTTTAATATTTATCTATTTAGTTCTAAAGAAAAAGATTATATTTCTTAATAATATTTATTATATAGTTAGTTAGCGCTTTCTCTGTAAGCTTTACTAAAGTATTCTTAAGAACTATTAATCTATATATATCTAGAAAAGAGTAATCTTTTTTTCTCTTCTTCTTTAAAGCGAGAGTTATAAACTTCTTTATCTCTTTAAAAAGCTTCTCTTACGCGAGAGCCTTACTTATTATATATACTAAGCGATTATTAATTATAAGTGAGAGTTACTTTAATACTTTATTTAATATCTTATTAGGCTTTAAGGCTTTTTAATTTAGAAGCTTAACTATTAAACTATAAACTTTATTTATTATTATTTTCTACTAAATATTTAGCGTGTTTATTATATACTTTTTATACTCTCTTTATCTGCTTATTAAGGAAAAGAAAAACTTCGCCTTAAGGATTTTATCTTTTTAGGTATCTATATAGACTAAATTATCTTTTAATATATAATATAGTAATAATAAATAAAGATTTTTATATATAATATATATAGCTTTCTTACTTTATTTAGCTATTCTCTAGATATTATCTCTATTCTTATTCTATGTAAAGCCCTTAATATATTGATATTAGTTAACTTTTATATTTCTTTTTAGTTTTTATTTCAGTCTATTTATAAAGTGATATAATTTTTATAGTATCTCTTAATTTTTTGTTATAATATACTTATACCTTATATATCTTAAGTCTATTAGTAGTTTAAATACTATTAGCGACTAGTTAGGCCTCGCTCTCTATAATGATTTAATTAAAAGATAGTGTCTTTTTAAGCTCTTTATAATTATTTATTATAGATCTTTTAGAGTGTCTTCTAGTGATATAACTTTAATATCTTTTTATAAACTATATATATCTAGTTTATTAAGTGCGAATCACTTACTCTTTATTTATAATATTATTAAATCGATATCTAGAAGAAGATAAATTAGAATATAGTCTCTTATTAAAGCTCACTATAGTATTATTTTATAATATACTATCCTTATACTAATCACTTACTTTATAAACATAAAATCAATAACTAATTTTCTAGTTTCTCATTACTAGGTAATATCTTCTTGTTTTATAAGTAGCTATAATCTCTTAATCTCTATAGCTTAGAGTAAGTAATCTATATACTAATTATAAATAGTTTCTCTCTCTCTTTATTTAGGGTAATAAATATTAAAGTTATCTAGAAATATTACCTAACTCTAGGCCTAGTTTATAGCTTATTAAATTACTAGCTATATAGAGAGCTTTATTCTATCGCCTAGAGAGTTATAGATATTAATGATTAAGATATTTTTATTTTAAAGACTTAGTTCTAGTCTCGCTATATTTAGTCTATATTATCTATGGTTTTAGTGTATTATACTTATATCTCTTCTAATTATAAAGTATATCTTTATTTTTAGTGTTATCTTATACACTAGCTAGTAGAGCTTTAAATAGTATATCGATTTTATATA